TGTGAGGGAGTGAGTTGATACGCGTGAAATGCAAAATCCTAAAAAGGGAAAAATACAACCCTAAATATCCAAATGCGATATATGAAAAGGTTAAAAGAAGAAAAAGATTGACTAAATCAAATTTGCTCGGACACTCTAAGGTCCCTAGTGGAGTCGCCAGTTGTCGCGCCGCCCCATTTTTTAAATAAGAAAAATAAAAGACGAGTTTAGAAAAATGGCTTTTGATTCAATTTTGAGTAAAAAATGAACTTTTTGATTTAAAAGAAAAATAAAGAACATGGGTCTAAATGGGACTTGAAAATGCGACGATTGACCCAAAATAATAATTTAAAAAGGGTTTTTGAATGAAAAAATCGGAGTCGCCACTTGGTATTGAGTTGAGGTGTACCAGGTCACCTAAAAAATGAATTTTTAAAGAAAAAGTAGAAAACCCATTTTAAACGACTCCAAGTCTACGAAAATCAGAGAAAAGATTCGGGAGTCACATTTGAAGAAAGGGAAGGCAAGGATAAGAATCCACCCTTTCAACCTAGCCAAAGCTAGTTGCGCGATTTAGTCAAAGATTTTCTTATTTTAACCTAAAGATTTATCACATTTGGATGTACTATATGAATGCAGACCCTAGACCTAAGAGAGTATCGGGGGGATCGAAATTTCTCTTCAAAACTCAATTGGTACCAATCACATTAATTGTGACGCCCAATAAAGACTCTTCGAAGAGGTCACAAATAATGCAAAAAAAAATGAGACTCTAAGAAAAGAAAAGGAAAATAAAATAATTATACAAATATATGTGGCCTAAAGGAATGCATCATGTCGGGTACGGGGAACTAATGTTCGTGACTCAATTTCCCCTTTTATAGAGGGAATACGAGCGTGCTAAGGCTAAAAAGCCAAACTCGTCTATATCCCATATTCAAGGGGTTTTCCCTAGTCTAATCAAGCAAATATACTAACCTAGGTCTAATGCTTAGATGAAATGCAAGTCTAATGTCATGTTTCATACAAAGGGGTAAGTAATATACATATAAGGGAAAATGTGGGGGAAGGGATATACGTATAAGGAGGCATGTCATGCAAAAAATGATAAAAGACCCTAAAAAGTGAAAATATGCATGAGATGAAATGATTTTATCACACAATCATGATCTAACGTGCGGATGGTTCCTAAGGGTCTAGCGTTGGACTAGCCCTTAACTAACGTTCTCTCACAAGCATTGGACTTGTAAGAGCTCGAAGGGAAGACCATGACTAGCATTTGACTTGCCACGATAATGTACATTCCATCCACATAATCAGATAAAATACTAAAAGCAAATAGGCATGCAAAACACATAGTTTCACATAGCACGTAACACATAGGCGTGCTTGTCGAGATGCAGAAGCCTAGGGAAAACAATTAAACACATAGCACATAGGCATGCAAAAGCACACAAAGCAAATAAAGCGAATAAATCCCTAACTATTACACTTGGGAGGCCCTACTACAATCTAAAAGGGGGAATAAAATAAATAAAACAAATCCCTAACTATTACAATTGTGGCATTAATTGCCTTCACCAAATAATTACAAATTAAATTAAAATAAATAAATAAGATTAAACAAATAAAGTGAATAAATAAATAAATAAACATTCAAAAGGCATGCAATTAAACACGTAAAGTCACATAGGGCACGTTGTGAAAGACTCGCAAATTCCTTATATTTTTCCTCAAAATTCCCTTTTATTTGAAAAGTATTTGGTAGTTATTATTTCATGCCATCCTATAGTTCAACCACCCTAGAAAAGTGCAAAAAGTTATAGGAAATTAGGATTTTCCTATTCGTTTTCAATTCAAGGTGAAATAAGAATTTTTCGTGTATCTGCAGTATAATTATCCGGTACAGAGTACGGATCAAATTTGGTGCTTAAGAGTGACTTTTAAGTGAGAAATAATATGTGATAGAAGTAATGAATAAAAGTTAGTGAAAAGAAATTAAAAACCCTAGTACGGGTAATTTAAGGAAAAACGCGAACCGACGCGTACCGTGTACTACCGATTTAACCACCACCTGATCACCACTTTCTTACCCTACAAGCTCATTAATAATTGAGCAAAATATCCCCCCCCTCATGGTCATCTCTTGGCCAAAATTGGGACAAAAAAATGCAAGGAAAGAAAAGAAAATTTTTGGTGAAAGTTGAGCCAAGTGTTGGCCCAACTTGTGGCAAATTAGTCCTAATCGTCTTACCTTCTTATAAGACAAACTAAGCTCTTTCTCCCTCATTTTTTTCTTGCTTAGGGCCGAGACAAGAGAGAGAGAAAAGAAGAGCAAGAGAAACAAATTTCCTTCTTGATTTGCTTCAACCAAGTGAGAAAATCCAATTCTAAACCAATTAAAGTGTGGGTTGTGAGTTGGGAAGCTTGAGGAACTAAGAAATTTCAAAGGGGGTGAAGTATCACTCTTCCAAGCCTTGTCTTTGAGGTATAAAATCTGATCATGATCCTTGTTCCTTTAAATTTTGGTTTAAGATGTTATTTAGATCATGTTTTAGCTTGATTACAAGATAAGCAAGTTGTTGTGATGATTCTTGGATGATATATGCAAGCTAGGGTTTGATTAATTTGTACCTAACCTTGTTTTATATTTAGTATATGTTGTATATAAGAGTAGATAAGGGGCTTTGGTAGAATTGGAAGCAAGAAAATGGAAGGATTGACTTGAGATTTCAAAAATTCCAGACTTCTGGAATTTCAGGATTACATTCTGCCCGGTTTAAGTGCTCATAGTTAGAGGCCGAATTAGGCTTGACCAAAACATGAAAGTTGTAAAGAATGGTATTTTATAGGTTCCTAAAAATTTCAGCTCAATCGGAGCAACATAGCTTGTGAAAAGATGAAAATACCCTCACTGTTCTAGGTTACATTCCAGAGTTCCGCGTGGACAGTTTAGTCTATTTGGTTGTGTTTATTCACTATAATCCGTTCGGATTTAGCCTTTTTCAAAAACATGAAAGTTTTAGTACTCTGTCTTATATTTTTAACGCCACCAGGAACGCCCTAAACGGACCTTGGTAGACTGAGATATGGCCATTTGAATGCAGTACGGTTGATTAGCCGAATAGTTGAAATCAGATTATATGAATTGGGAATTTGATTAGGTTACACTGAAAATTAGACTAAGTACTCTCCATAAAATTGTAGCCCTGTGTCTTAGCTTCGAAACGGTATAAGTTACGCCTCAATCCGATAAGCGTAGCCTCAGATGTGTTCTTTCCGCAACCACACGTCAAATCTGTCTTTGCTAGGTTACATTTCCGCACTTGTTATCACTTTGGTTTTTGTTCTTATGTTGTTATGAGCCTATGGAACAGCTATTTACTTGAATTTATGATATATATGACTTTGGGATTGGCTGATGAAAATAATGAAGCCATATATGGCTGGAAAATTTGGTAAACACAAAGGGCATGCTGCCCAAATTTACGCTCGAGGACTAGAAAACTATACTTGCAACTTGAGTAACGGTTAGAAGTGATTATCACTTGAACTATCGAGGACCTTTGCTACTTTGTTTATCGAGGGTTATACGTTAGGACTTGGTCGAACTTGTACCCTTAGGAAAACGATATGAATCACTATGAAACCGTTTTACTTGCACTTTCGACTCAAAAGTCATCTCCAAGCAAACATGCTATCAAAATTTTCCGTTTGAAAAGCGAGCAACTATTTCACTACTATTTCTCAAATGAATTTCAATTTCTTGATTCTTATTGAACGAAACGCTTAAGTTTCGAACTTTAGTCGATTTTCAAAGTTCTCAAGTCCACTTTTATCGCAGATTTGGACTCCAAACCCGGAGTATCACCCAGACACGAGCACTAGAGGCACTACTTTTGGTGAGTGCTTCCAAATATCTGATTGAACTCGATATTTGCTATTTATCTCTGATCCACGTGAATACGTGAGATATATGTGATGTGATAGAGCAAGGGTGTACTTTATCGCACTTGCCCTATCCAAATTTATTCTTGTTTATCAATTTCACTTGACTTGCTTTACATGCACATGAATTATATCATGCCTGGAATTCCAGAAACCCTGTGGCTAGTTAATCGAGTCGAGCCGGCAAGGGCCTGGTCGATTAGATAACAAACCCTGGGTCACTAGTAAAGTCGAGTGGAGTGTTACCTCCTCGGCAAATCGGTATACTCGAGTATTACCACCCGTGTTTCATGTGAAGTTCGGGCCCGGTTGGGGGTTGATTGGTGGACGGAGACTGGCGAGAAGTGGAATTTTTTTCTGGACTAGTTATTACTTGAAAGTTGACGGAGTATCAACTACTATTCGATCAAGCTGGAATGGAGCTGAGACATGAGCAACTGTATCCTTACTTGTGAACATGATCCATACATCTCTTGACTACTTGAAGTGTTATCTCTTTACTTGAACTTGGTTGCTCGCTATTTCACTATTACATTGTTATAATCTTGTTTGCTGGACAATTTGATATCTGGAACATCACTGAGCTTTGACTCACCCTATTAGTTTTATTTTCCTTACAGGGGTACGAGTGACGCGTGAGACGTATAAAGGCTAGCGTAGTTTAGTTATTTTGACTTTTGACTTATACTCGCGCTATTCCTTGACTAGAATGTTTTGTAATGGGATTTTATACACTTTGAACCAATTTGGGTTTATCGAGACTTTGTACCTTGATTTTGTATCAATGTAACTTATAAGTTTGAACTGCGATATTATTTATGGTCCATGGATGTACGCATGTGATTCATATGAGTGAGTCCTGGCGAGAGCTGGGCAGGCGATCCGCTGAACCCTCTGGTACGCCTTAGGGGGAGGTGGGGTCGTCACAGGTGATATCAGAGCTTAGGTTTGAATTGATTTGGATAGATTGAGTGCTTGACCTGATAGGCTAGGGTTTTATCCTTGAGTTTAGCCTTTAACCTTGTTTTCTGCGTGTTGAGTACTTACTTTTGCAATGTTATTTACAAACTTAGGTGATGGCAGACACTGACGCTTCTGGGGGTGCGGGGCCGTCTCAGCCCGTACCTACTGACGTACCTACTGATGTACCCACTGATGTGCCTACTGACGTACCTACCGATGCTCCCGTGGTCGAGCCATATCTAGAGGGACCCGTATGCCGCGTGATTTCATACCAGGAGATCCCCGGTGGGCCAGTGCAGCGGTGGTCCCCAGCACGCAAGATCCGACGCTGCGATTGCTAGAAGACCTACTCCTACCCTGACCGAGTAGTGCTCGCAGTGGATGACGAGCGGAGACGATTGGGTAGCACCAATCATAGGTGCTATGCGGAGATAGAGCGTCTTCGGGCTACACTCCGAGACCAGGGAGCCCGGATCCGAGAGTTGGAGGCCTCGGTTCTGGAGGAGCAGCAGCGGACCGATGCTTTCCGCGCGCAGGCTCAGGCGACGACTGGACGTCTGATGCGAGTAGTTGGAGATGTACGAGACCGAACCGACCACATCCTGACCGATGCGAGGCACTTGTAGATGATGTGATACAGGACTTGGCTGAGGAAGGTCAAGCGCCTGTAGTCCCTGAGGTTCCTGGTACTCCTGAGGAGGATCCGGATGAGGATCCTGAGGAGGACCCAGAGGAGGAGCTGAGTGCATCCTCGGAGTCGGTTGGGTCGGCGTCTAGCCAGACCACTTGTTAGGATTGGGGTTTGAGGAGATTTTTGGGGATAGTTAGGAACATAGTGGGACGACACGTCTCCTTTTGTTTTTGATTTTGACGTGTCATGGTGGATGTAAATACCTTTTGTTCTATGTTCCTTGGCTGTTATAGCCTCTGACTATGTGACTTGTTGGCCTGTATATATGACTTGTTTGCTATGTGTATAAAGTGCTTGTTTATTATGTGCTCGATTGCCTCTATTTATTCTTTTGCAACGTGTTATACGAGTCATACCTTACTTTGTCTGTATATTTATAGCTGGTTAAATCCAAAACATGGAGGGTAGACGAAGTCAAACCAGGGGAACTAACCGAGGACGCGGTCCTAGTCGAGGCCGTGGGGATAGACGCGCACAAGAACCTGTGCAAGAACGAGGGAAGAGAGAGAGGCCACGATTGAGCCACAACCTGAACCCCAAGCTGCAGGAGATCAAGTGGCAACTGCTATCCAGCAAATGACCAATATTTTGGCTCGTTTAGTGGAACAACAGGGTCAAGCCCCTGTAAATCAGCTAGGGATCCCGAAATGGGACAAGATAGAGCTTTAGAGAGATTCCAAAAGTTCTCTCCACCCAAGTTCTTGGAGGACCAGACCCGGAAGGAGCCGATAAATGGCTAGAGGCCATGATCAACATCTTTGCCGCCTTAAACTATACAGAGGATAGGCAAGTGTAGTTCGCTGTTTTCCAGTTTGAAGGGCCAGCTAGGGCATGGTGGAATGTAATTAGGGCCAAGTGGGAGAGAGAAGGAACTGCGTGGATCTGGTTAAACTTTGTACGGGAGTTTAACGAGAAATACCTTCCACCTATCGTCCAAGAGAAGCGAGAGGACGATTTTTTAAGCTTCGACAGGGCGTTCTAGTGTATCTGAGTATGAGACTCAGTTTACAAAATTGTCAAAATTTGCTCCTGAGTTGATTGCTACGGAGCCAAGAAAAGTACGGAGATTCGTGCAAGGGCTCAATGTGGAGATACAGGAAGCTTTGGCGGCAGCCCAGATTAATACATTTACGGAGGTTTTGGAGAAGGCCCTAAGAATAGAGACTGCCAGGGCACAAGTGAAAAATTTCCACGCCAAACGGAAAGGAGGACCTAGTGGAGCCCAAGGGTCAGTACGGAGTGATCAAAACGCGCCACCTGCCAAGTCCGTCGTGGGGCTGGAGGTGGACGGTTTTCAAGTGCGTCTAGGGGAGGTGCTCCGAGAGGAGGTACTCAGAGAGGAGGTACTCAGAGGGGAGGCCAAAGTGGTAGGGGCAAGGTAGAGGAATTCCACAAGGAGGCCAGACCTCTACTCCCCGAGTGACGTGCGGATATTGTGGAAAACCGAATCATACAGAGGATGAATGCTGGAGAAAGGCTCGAAAGTGCCTAAGGTGTGGGAGTACGGAACACCAAATAATCAACTGCCCGTTGATCAGTGATACCCAGTCGACTGCCAGGTCAAACCCAAAACCGACCAATGCCGGAGGGACTAGGTCGAGAGTTCCGGCCAGAGTATATTCACTGGACCAACAATCCGTGCCTGAACCAACGGAAATAGTTGAAGGTACGATCCCTGTCTTTCACCGGTTAGCAAAAATTTTGATAGATCCTGGTGCTACTCATTCTTTCATTAACCCTACATTTATGCTTGGAATTGACATGAAAGTTGAAAAGCTACCTTATGACCTAGAAGTAAGAACACCTACGGGTAACCAAGTTTTACTTGTGAATGAAGTATATAGAAAGTGCGATATTTGGGTTGGTGAACGAAAGTTAGTAGTTACCTCATTAGTCTAGCCATAAAAGGGTACGATGTCATTCTAGGTATGGATTGGCTAGCTCACTACCATGCTCGGGTAGATTGTAGAATGAAGGTAGTGGAGTTCTGCATACCAGGTGAGGCAACTTTGAAGTTGGACGTGAGGGGTATGTTAGCCTCATCTGCGCTTATTTCAGGAATAAGGGCTAGGAAGTTGCTTAGTCGTGGGGCACGAGGTTACTTAGCTTTTCTGATTAACACTCCGGGAGAAAAGATTAAGTTGGAAGACATGCCAGTAATCAGTGAATACCCGGACGTATTTCCGGAGGAGTTGGAGTCTCTGCCACCAAAGGGAGATTGAATTTAAAGTTGACCTAGTACCCGGAATTACTCCTATTTCGAAAACCCTTATCGTATGGCACCTGCTGAACTTAAGGAGTTAAAGGTGCAATTGCAGGACCTGCTAGAACGAGGGTTTATTCATGAGAGTGAGTCCCCGTGGGGAGCTCCAGTGTTATTTGTTAAGAAGAAGGACGGGAGCTTAAGGTTGTGCATTGACTATCGAGGGTTAAATGCAGTAACTGTTAAGAATAAATATCCTTTGCCCCACATTGATGAGTTGTTTGATCAGTTACAAGGGGCTGTGGTGTTTTCTAAATTGGATCTGCGACAAGGGTATTATCAATTGAGAATTAGAAAGGAGGATGTGCCAAAAACGGCGTTTAACACTCGATATGGGCATTTTGAGTTTGCGGTAATGCCTTTGGTTTAACCAATGCTCCAGCGGCATTCATGGATTTAATGCATCGAGTGTTTAAACCTTACTTGGATAGGTTTGTAGTGGTGTTCATTGATGATATCCTAGTATATTCAAAGTCAAGAGAGGAGCATGAACAACACTTGCGGATAGTGCTGCAAACCTTAAGAGAGCACCAATTGTTCGTAAATTCAGCAAGTGTGAATTTTGGCTGGAAGAAGTAGTTCTTAGGTCATGTAATCTCAAAGGATGGACTTGCTGTAGACCCGGCGAAAGTGGAGGCTGTAGCCAAATGGAAGCGACCAGAGAATCCCACTGAGGTACGAAGTTTCCTAGGTTTAGCAGGGTACTACCGCCGATTTATAAAGAACTTCTCGAGAATTGCGGGACCCTTAACTAACTTGACCAAGAAACAAGGAAAGTATATTTGGGATGTTAAGTGCGAAAGTAGTTTCCAAGAGCTTAAGAAGCAACTATGGCTCCAGTTTAGCTTTGGCCCAATGGGAACGATAGCTACATGGTTTATACCGATGCTTCAAAAGAAGGGCTAGGGTGCATGTTGATGCAAAATAGGAATGTGATTGCCTATGCATCTCGGAAGTTAAAACCTCATGAGCAGAATTATCCGACCCATGACATGGAGCTTGTAGCTGTAGTGTTCGCTTTGAAGAAATGGCGACATTATCTCTATGATGTAACTTTCGAGGTTTATACGGATCATAAGAGCCTTAAGTATCTGTTTTCTCAGAAGGAGCTAAATCTAAACAACACCGGCGGGTAGAGTTCTTAGAAGATTATGACTGTACAATTAACTACCATCCTGGAAAAGCTAATGTTGTAGCAGATGCTTTAAGCCGAAAGGCTCAACTAGCAAGTTCCATAGTGGGAGAGTGGAGCCTATTAGAAGATGTCTGTGAGTGGAAACCTCGTTTGGAACCGGAGAAGGTGATTTTTGGAAATATTGAGGTGAGGTCGGCATTGATGGAGCGGATCAAAGAGGGCCAAGTAAAGGATCCAATAGTACAAAAGTGGGTGGAAAAAACGAAGAAAGGGGAGTTGCCTAACTTTAACATAGGTCCTGATGGAATCTTGAAGTTCCGAAATCGTGTTGTTGTACCTAAGGATGAGGAATTAAGGAGGGAGATTTTGGAGGAATCACACCGCTCTAGGTATACGGTGCACCCAGGGAATAATAAGATGTACCAAGATCTTAAAGGCCTGTATTGGTGGGAGAATATGAAGGCGGAGATTGCCCAGTTTGTACGAAAGTGTCTTACGTGCCAACAAGTGAAGGCTGAGCATAAAAACCGTCAGGTTTGTTATAGCCTTTAGAGATCCCTGAATGGAAATGGGAGCACATAACGATGGATTTTGTATCAGAGTTGCCACGAACACAAAAGGGGCATGATGCAATTTGGGTAATAGTGGACCGATTAACTAAGACTGCACATTTTCTGCCAGTAAACATGAAATATCCTTTGGAGAAACTTGCTAAATTTTATATGGATGAGGTAGTGAGACTACATGGGGTACCAGTGAGTATTGTATCGGATAGAGACCCTAGATTTGTATCTCGATTTTGGCAGAAATTGCAAGAGGCTCTAGGAACTAAGTTGAACTATAGTACAACGTATCATCCACAAACTGATGGACAATCTGAGAGAACCATCCAAACTCTTGAGGATATGCTGAGAGCCTGTATTGTGGATTTTGGAGGAAGTTGGAGTCAATACTTAACCTTGGTTGAGTTCGCTTATAATAATAGTTATCATTCCTCTATTCAAATGGCCCCATATGAAGCCTTGTATGGACGACGATCTCGATCTCCAATCCATTGGAAAGAAGTAGGAGAAAGAAAGATTATAGATCCGGCTACAATACCATGGGTTGAGGAAACCTACGAGAAGGTAAAGGTGATCCGCCAGAGACTTCAAACAGCCCAAAGTCGACAGAAAAGTTATGCTGATCATAGGAGAAAGGATTTGGAATTTGAAATAGGAGACAAGGTGTTTCTTCGAATTACCCCGTTGAAAGGGAAAATTAGACAGGAAAAGGGAAAAAGTTGCAACCACGATACATAGGACCTTTCAATATACTCCAACGAATAGGGAAGGTGGCTTATCGACTTGAGTTGCCCGCTAGTTTGTCTTGGATCCATGACGTTTTTCATATTTCTCTGCTTAAGAAATATCATCCGGATCCGACCCACATTTTGCCACCAGAAGATGTTGAACTAGACGAGTCCTTGACCTATGAAGAACGACCTATTCAAATATTGGATCGGAAGGTGAAGGACCTGAGAAACAAGCAGATTCCATTAGTAAAGGTTCTATGGAAGCATCATGAAGTGGAAGAAGCAACCTGGGAGCTAGAAAAGGACATGCAAGAGAAATATCCCGACCTGTTCACGACGAAAGGTATGAATTTCGAGGTCGAAATTCTTTTAAGGGGGAGAGAATGTGAAGACTCGCAAATTCCTTATAT